TTGGCAAGAGCCATATTCGTCCTGTGCAACTGAACTGAACTGAACTGAACTGAACTGAATCCCCGTGACCTTCGGACGGCTGGTTCGTTGTGCATCGAATGCCCGGCCATACAAATTGCGATCTGATGCCCGACCTTTCGAAGGTGTGATGTTTCTTTCGATCCAACATCAAAAATTTATTTAGGATACAGATAGTATTCTCTTAAAAGGTGGTTTAGTTGTTAATCATGACACTTGCAGCAAAGCTGATGTTTTGATTGAAGGTGGAATAATAAAGTAAGAGAATAATAATATACATTCCCAATTTCCGCTTAGAGATGTTGGACCTGATCTAATCGCACCTGAAAACGCACGTATAATAGACGTTACAGACAAATTCATCATACCAGGTGTGTATCCTCTTATTTTAAATTATTCGTTTTCATCCTATTTTAAGGCGGCGTCGATTTGGACTGCCATCTGGGTGAGGCCTCCATTGATGATCCGTTGGCAGATACGTTTGAAACTGGATCGAAATTTGCAGTCCTTGGTGGAACAACTACTTTGGGTAAGATTTAGGGAAAAAATAGTGCAATATATTGATGGTGACCATTGAAAAAGGTCATATATATATATATATCACCGGCTTGAGAGCACATGATGCCAACGTAACAGCTGCCGATGAGATTATTGGAGTACAGTTCTACTGGATTGAGAGAATAACGGTAGCTGTTTTCCGTTTGCTTCACCGCACAATTTTTGATATCTGTTATTCATCTTTCTTATATGGATCAGAGTTTTAGTAGTAGACATTTTCGGGCCGATGACCTTCAGTCTGGGTCATATCTCTCAGCGTCTCTAACTAACCACAATTATCATCCTTTGGGCCCAAACCTGTACGGTGGGCTGCACCAACTAAAGCCAAAGCCAACTTCTTTATACCTCTACGCCCTGTCGTGGTATGACCGCCGCGACGATTCTTCCAGTCTTGCCCAACACAGGCAAAGTGCGTACCGAAAGGTCGATTATGGATAGGTAAACGAAAAACGTGACTGCGTCGTAGTAAGCGGTGTAAAGTGGTTACTTCTCTTATAGAACAACTACCCAGACTCAACACATGATGGTGAAACTCGTGATTTCTCCTTCCATGTTCCCACCAGACATCAGTGGTCGAATACAGAGAGTATATTAGCATCCTCAACGCGGAGGGGCCAGGTCTGGCAACAGTAGGGTAGAACACTACGAACCGCGGCGATGTACACCCTTCCTTTAAGGAACTATCGGATGTCATGGCGGCGCCACAGATGTCTCAGGTTGGCAGAGCTGTCCTAGCCTTTACTGCTTGTGGTGTGATCTCCCCATCACCACCTCAAGCCGCGGTCAACCTCCCGAGATACTGGAAGCTCTCAGCCACTTCCAGCTTATCATCACATAGGGTGAGTGCAGGCACAAATTCCTGCCAGTCTTGGACAACCAATTTGCACTTGAATGATGCAAAGCACATACCATAGTTGAATACCTGGATCGCCAAGCGGTTTAAAGCGTGTTGGACTGTCTGTGTGTTGTCACATGGCAAGGCATCAGTATATTCCAAGTCAGGAGCTCTGTTCCCTGAAAGGAATTCGACTCCACTATCCGTTGGACCAGGCAAAGTATCCTGCAAAACAGCTCTATGGTAAAGTTGAACAGGAATGGGGATATAGGGTAGCCTGGTTGAACTCCACTGAAGACAGCAGTGTTGTGAAAGCTATCCACAGTCCATAGCCCCACCCGAGGTATGACGATGCAACTCTTTTGGTAATAATACATGCTTCTCAGGTACCCCATTCCTACACAACCAGTTCTATAGTGTGGCTCTATCGATGGAGTGGAAGGCCTCACTGATGTCTAAGAACAATTACTTTTGGTCTTTAGTAGGCATGCTCAAGCATCTTTCGGGGGATGGAGATTCGATCGATGCATCCACAACCGGCGCAAAACCCAGCCTGCTTCTCGCGCGTCTGCTCTTCGATAAAATTAAGCGACGTACAGCACGAAGAGTGAACCCTCATAGTCAAATATATGCTTTGAAAGGGATTATATGTGGAAACCATTGGAGTGTTATCAGTTCGTTTGTTTTGCTTTTGTTGCAAGGAAGGCTTTGGGTGGTTGGAATCACGGAAATGGTAAGAATGTTCTAGCGTTTCTCGGTCATGGAGGAAGAGACTGGAACATATAAGTGCAACATCTCAGGTCAAAAACCTGATGGCACTGGCTGGCAGCCTGAGATTGAGTTGAATGGGAAAAGGGTTAGGGGAGGGAGTTGGACTACGGAAGCTGGTCCTGAAGAATCGTGAGATAATTAAAGGGACAATAAAAAGTACCACTATCGAGGAAACACTATATGGATTTGGAGGTTTTGGACAAAATATCGTTAGTAAATAGGTTGGACACAAGTGTAGCACTTCGGGGATCATTGAAATTCAAAAGGAGTAGCCAATACAGGACCCTGTTGACTCATACGGAGTTATTTCACTAGGTGGGAAAATATTACAGCCACAACACGTGGAACGCGTTCACTTCAGTTTTTACGACCATTAACCATTCACTTTCGTGCGCTGGCTTTCGTTACTGTCCATTTGGCTCAAGGAATAAAAGAAAGGATTGAGTATTCAAATCAGTGACAGAAAATATATAATTCATGGAAACAAAGGTTGCGAAGAAATTGAAATGTCCGAGCGCCACTGTTTGCAACACTCAGCCATATTGTCAGTGTCTCCAGCCCCTTATTACGCTAATCCCGATGTCTCCATTCAGGAAGCGTGTATGATCAAATCTCCTGATCGGATTTTTCATACCCTCTTGCCAGGCCTGAATTCGACCACCACTGTTCTTTTTCCACTGAACACCTTCTTCGGCAAACAACACGCGCTGTAGAAATCTGTTTTGTGACATATGCTAAATGCTCCAATCAACGTGGTCTTTGAAGGTCGACCACTTGCTCCAGTGGGTGAATGTGGTTACCTAAGACTGCGCCTGACCTCTGCTGGACGGGATACGTGAAATCCAAAAGTGGGTAATTTTGAAATCAGACCTTACCAAATTCGGTCTAAGGCATTCAAAATATCGAATGAGTTTCCCGTTGGTTGCTGAG